TAACCAAAAGAGATGGTAAAATTATTGCAGGGTCTTCTACAGTGCAAACACCAACAACTAATCTTATAATGGACCAAAAATTCTCGCCCTTGATTGGTCTAAACGCATCAAGTGACGGAGTCACAGCTAGATATTGATATGATGATATCTCCAAGATTGTATCTGCCCGTTAAGTACGTTTTCATTTTAACCAATTGCAAATCATTAAATTGAATAGAACTGAATGTTTGGGGCGCCGACAGAAGTACTTTGAAGTTTATGAATTGAAAAAGAGGTCTCCCCAAAATAACCGTGTTTTTATGGCACCCGGCTTTTACATATTTTCGCGTCAGATGGAGGCTATTGTTTAAATATACTAAACCATCTGTTAATTTCATAAATGGGTATTTCTTCACAGGTAAAAATTTCCTTGTTGAAATAAAGACAGGACTGCCTTGGGATAACGATTTTCTTTTTGTGTCAAATAACAATTATCAATCCACCAGAAGAGATATAGAGCTTAAGGTGAGATCTGAATACGCCTGCAAATCATTATTATGAAGAGAGAATAAACAGTTAAAGTGTTAATCCCCCATATAGACCCTATCCTCAGGGTAATCCCTCTCAAGTTATTTTTAGACATGCTACCCAGTTATTCCGTGGACAACGTCACCATGCGCGTTTCGTGGATGTTTTTCGTGGAGGAAGAAGCTGCGCGTAAACCCACTTGGGCTGTCCACGTGAGCTGTTCACGTGAGCAAAATCTGCATCAAAGGATTAGAGTCTGGAATTTCAATGATCTGAAAATAACTTTAGAGGGATTCCCTTGGGAACACGGTCTATATAGGGGGATTAACTCTCCTACCCTCAGTCTTCTCTTCGTTAACTGCGGGGGGAGGAGGAGGGGGAGTGGGTTTGCGCAAATAACGGTTTAGTCGTTTGCAGCTGTTTGTTATTCGTCACTGTGCAACGGGATTATCTGTAAGTTTTTAATTTTAAGAATTGATTTTCGGTTTTTAGGAATCTAATGTGTAATTCCCCGATTATTTTTTTGCTAAGGTGCTTAATGTGTACGAAGACGATAAAGACTTTCGTGGAGCGTTCTTTAGTAAATTCAGGTACGTTCTATGTATGTATCTCAGAGAGATGACAAAAAATACATAACATATAACTCTTCATTTGTCGAAAGACGGCAATCCTTCAAAAAATAAATAGAAAGAAAACACAAGAAAATTACTTTACCGCGTGAATACATTCTGTAATTTGGATCGAGACGGAGATTATGCATGTAGGGCACAGGTCCTGCGGATTATCAGAGCTGTAGCCAGTATGAGATAAACCGAGGCACTTGTAAGCTATTAGTACATATTGAATATCTGTACCTCTGTATGTGACTAGTACATTGTATTATCCAACTATTTTGCACTAACTCTGTATGTATAATTATTTTTTTTGTGTGTGTGTGCTCTTGCATGTCTTTTTCTTATTTTCTCCTCTTATTTGACCCAAATAAATAATCACTTTAAATCACTAAGGATAGCTACCGGGTCTTATTAGCCCATTAAGGTTATAGCCGGGGGTTATTCCTGGCAGCCATGAACTCGTTTTACTTTAACTTATTTTTGTTCATTTAATCTCTAATTTCTAGCTGAGTACAAATGAAGTTGTTGTTGGTATTGTTGTTGTTGTTGTCTCTTTTCGTTTTTGTTGGTTTTCTTTATGAAGAAGGAAAGTGAAACACTCCTAAATACCTACTAGGAAGAAAATTTAACAATGGGCATTGCCTTACTCATAACTTGTCTGCTACGGTCCTGGTTATTGTGACTGAATATATCTGAATCTAAGAACAATTTAAATTTTAATCTTACCGAGCATTCTGCACTTGTAATGACCGGTTATAATATACCTTTTTTCAGTTCTTCAAAGGAGCCTGAAGGAGTGAAAGCTTACTTTATCTTGCGATTCAGAGCTGCAGACACATTCCTCGGAAAATTGCTGGATAAACTTGGAGAGGGAAAGATTGCTGCGGCAGGTAATTAAAATAAATATTCAAGAAAACAATGCAACGTTCGCGCTAAGATACATGTTAGGTTCTTAAAAGCCTTATTCAATTTTCACTTGAACTTCAATTCGCAATGCAGGTTGCTACGAAGATGTCACTCAATGTCCCAGCAACTGTCCATCAACCTGTGTTCCCCTGTGTCTAGCTTCCTGTTGCCAGCCTTTTTATCAGCCTGTGCCGGCACCCATGCCTGCTACACCACCTCAACCGGTAACAGCAGTCGTTCCAAGCCCTCAGGTCTACCAACCACCAGCACAACAGTGGAATAATCAATTCCCCGTCCAAGCCACAAACCCCCCTGCACCAGCTGCCTCTTCTCAGTTTCCAATGTCTCAGCCCATGAGTTGGCCTGGTTCCCAGTGCGCCTCGGGTTGCTCTCCTAATTGTGAGCCAAGTTGCTCACCGACATGTTGCCGATTTTTCAACTCAAAGCGGACAAAAACAAATATTAAATCAATTCTGAAGAAAAAGCCTCTGGAAGAGGAAAAACATTAACTGGACAAGAAATCATAAGAAACTTGACTGAACACGTACCTTCCGGCGAAATGCAGGCCTCATAAAACGAAGCAAAGGAATAGTAGAAAGGGATTTCAAGTAGGATTTTAAACTATGTATTATTCCAAAGGTCAATGCATTCTTATCGGCTCAAGCTCGAGTTGACGCCGTCCGTCAAATCTCTTTTACCTAACTCGAGGCAAGTTTTTGTTCTTTCCGTTTATTATAACTTCGCAACCTGATGATTTCTTGAAAGATTGTTAAATACTTCTTAAGGATAATGTAGAAACTTTTAAGTGTAAAACCAGCCTTGGCAAGATAAATATAATGCTTATGTAATATTTCAAGGCATGGAACTTTAGCTAATGTCTATAATTGAAAGATTTGCCACTTCTGACCGTCTGAAGTTTTTGCCTGGTTTGTTACCGCACGAACCATTTACCTTGGCACATGGCATTTCATTTCTATTTGTTTAGGTGAGCATGGCTTTAACCTTTCGCCTTCAAAATGCAATAGTAAGCATTTTGAAAAAATGAAAACCTTGTCCCTCTCCCCGAAACGTGTCACATTGTAACACACATAACTCGCTGTATATCCACTCTATCTTTACACAATGGCCACCTTGCCCCGTCACCAAGATGGCCATGATTATAGCTCGTTGGAGCCACTAGATTTTTCGCGACTTAAGTATTCTTGGTCAGCGACCTTATGGTAAAACAACAGCGAAAAGACCCCATGTTGTCACGGGCTGTAAAATACACGTCACAACGCTCAACCAATCAGGCATCTTTCCTGCTAGTAGCCTTTGTCTAAAAATAGATTTCAAAAAAAAAT